ACAAAATGAATTTCCTTTGGCTAAGTCTGTTATGCTAGCGATGGTAACTGGTAAGTGTCCTCCCCCTGCTTTATTTCAATGTGTGAACCTTTTTTTCTACTTTTTCTGCCCTGTCCAGTTTAGGAGGACAGTGGTAGAACAGATTCAGTGGGTACCCAGTGTCCAGTCAGGGTCAACCCAGCAAACACTTTTCAAACAGGGAGTTCACTGAGTTCTCAGGATTACCTGGTACCATTTAAGTAAATAATAAGTACAAGTCTGTTTTGTCATGCAACATTTAATCCTAGAACATTTATTGAATAAATATGTTTTTGTAAAGGGGCTTTTAGAATGTCAATTACTAAGTGACTGTCAGGCAAAATTGTCATCTCTGATATGATCCACTGGGGTGGATTTTGTCTGAAAGGCTGAGAAAAGGGGTGGGAAAGGTGAGATCAAAACTACCGAGTCAGAGCATCAAGTGATGATAATGCAGCTAATGACAGAAACAGATCTTGTGACTCTCATCTTTTCTAGCTAAAGCTATGTCCCATAAAATGCAGATGAGACACAGCATCAGATGGGACATGGAAAGGACCATGGTCAAGTGCAGTCTCGCTTTCAGTTCTAAAGGCTTCAAAATTAGTCTGAGGAAGAAGTGAAAAATATGTAATACATGCATGATTTGGCACATTCCTATATATGATATTTAGAATTGCACTGCATTCTAGGACATCATTGGATTTTTTTTTTTAAATTATAATTTTTCAATTTAAAAGCTACAGGGCACTATACATTCTTGTAAAGCACTTTTAGGAAGATTCAAAGCTTCAGAACTTTTTAAAAACTGATTTGCATTTCAAAGTAGTAGTGGCTGTTTTGGGTGAGATCACACAGAACTATTAACTAATAACTTTAATGAGCTTTCATATTTGCATAGCTGAACTTTGAATAGGGTCCTCTTTTAAAAAAGAGTATCAGCCAACAGTAACTTGACTCTTGACTTTGGACTTAAAGAACAGAGCCAAAGACAAAAATGGTAATTAGTTTATTTTTGTTTTTTTAATAAAAACTCCTTCATATATTTCATTTCCCAGAGTCTATCAAAGCATGACAAATACCCCAGAAAGGTCAGGAAAACAATTTTATATGTTATCATCCACATTCAAACAAAGCAAAACTCTTAGTTCATAATAATTTATGGTTTTTGAATTTTCATCTAACAAGCTATAATTTTAGAGGACTATTGTGTAGTGAAAGGCATGGTACAACAACAGATCAGCAAGACTATACTTTTAGCTTACATTTATCTCTGTGTGTGTGTGTGTGTGTGTGTGTGTGTGTGTGTGACTGTACATACTTGCATTCATACACCTTATTGCCCTGTATGTACCACAATGAAGAGAGGGAATCAAAAAATGACAATGCTGCAGATGTTTAGAGGAAATACCTACACTGTCAAAGATAAAGTATGTAGTGCTGGTTGTTTAAGCAGGAAAGAAAGTCATCATGTTGAACACTGACACTAACAATTCAATCCTCTGCCAGTGAAGTCACCAATTAACATCCCACAAGTCTAAAAAAATGCAGAAAATAATTTTTCGCTTCAAGAAATCATCTTGCAGTGAAGAATATCTTTTAATGACATAATTTCTTTCTTTTTGAAGTAGCATTTTTATTAATGGATGTATACTAATAAATAATTGTGATCACACTGACATGGAAGGTACTTTACAGATGAAACTGTATCTTTTCAAAATTTTCATAGACTGGAGGCACAAGGTAGGCCTAGCTAGTGATGTTATTGGACATGTCCTGAAAATACAACTTTATATTCACTTAATTCAAATGGGGGCCATGTGCAATAGATCGTTAAATTCTCTCTAGGCTTCTCCCAGAGTTTACCTTGTCCCACATGTTTTTCTTGCTAGACCTTTTAACCCTAGCTGGAGATAAGGTTACATTTTTTGCATAATGAAGATGAAGTAATTTTTCCATAAAGCAGTTCAAAGTGAAGGGTATAGTCACAGATTTGGTTGGAAGAAAGAATGGTAGTATCATCTGGCTCAATGTAAATTGTAATAATAATAAATCTAATTTATACTTTCTTCTAACCTGTACTTATTGATCCACCTAATCTTTGTTTTTCTGACTTGATATTTAGTATAATTTATTATTTGTCCTTATTGAAATGTATCCACTCCAGATTATATCTCAGTCCTGAATCTTGCTTCCTTTCAAGTGCATACACACGCATGCATCCACCCTTATAGATAAATATATATCTATCTCATTATCTTTACACACACCTTTGCAGAAGACTACTGTTAATTTTTGAATTGCTTTTTCTATATTCCAGCCACAGTCAAAAAAGCCTTTTATCATCTTTTATACTGTCTATCTTCTACTTTGTACTCCTCAGAAGTTTTAGTTACCAGATGGATTGGATAGTTGCAAAAAGTGCTTCATATTTTCACTATCTAAACCAAACACTCCAGGATGCTCATCTTCCACTGAACCTGTTTACTTTGTGCTTCATACATTATTAGATGGACACAGTAGGAAATGAAATCCCTGTGTGGTAGAAGTATCACTATGAAAGCACTAACCTCACAGACTGAGCTCTGAAAGTAAAGATCAGAGCACCCAGAAGCCTCTCTGAACTAAATTCATTGAAAACACCTAACTCAGAATCCCTATTGGTTTCCAGTTTTAAGTTAGTGCCTAATGAAGTCAAGTTTATCTCTGAAAACCTTTGTCACAGCTGGAGATAACTAGCAATAGTTACTTGCAAGACTACAATTTAAGGGGAAAACTGAATCTCAATATGTTGTCCTTCTAGAACAAAGTGGAAATGTGCTTTTATAGGTAATATAATACAGAGTAATTTTCATCCAGTCTCCAGTCTATACGTCAAAACCAGCGTGCAGTGTGCCTCACATTAATAGTCTCTGCATGGAAGTGTAAAAATGGAAATACAAAGCCACGTCAGTCAAGAGTGAAATTCTTCCACCGAGTTGTGAGAGGAGTAATATGTGCATCATTCATGTCTGGTCAGTCAAAGAACGCAATTTATACGAAGTTCCAAGATAAATGCTTTTTCACTCAGTTTAGTTTTTAACAGTCAGAGTGCAACAGCTGTTTATTTCTCAGTCCAGTTACAACAGTACAAATGCATACAATCCAAACCTTAGAGATCCTGTTTAGAAATTTTTTAGATACAATAAGATCAGGAGATCCAAATATCTGCTCCTTTTCTTGTATCTTGAATCTCCACTGTTCTGATCTTCCACAGTCTGAGTGCAACTCTTCTCCATCAGGAAGGATGATTTGGTGAGTAATCATATTCCAAGTTGTGTACCAGCGGAGTGCAGTGTTGCTGTAGCAGAGTTACTGGTGGGACTTTCTTTTTTCATCAGTCTGTGATTTACACAGGACTATTTCATGTGCTTCAAAGAGCTTATTTGCTCAAATAGCTGTCTGATTGCCTCATCAATTTAGTTATACCATATTTGTTTAAATGCATTTATCCTCTGTGTATGGGAGGATTTCTTTTATGCTACAATCCATATGACAACACAAAAAAAATTTACTGAAATGCAATTTACAAATTTCTTATGCAGTATCCAGATGATCCTCAAAGCCCAAAGAGGCAGATAAGTTGGTGGATTCTGAGCTATTGGGTAATTTTGTCATTGTGCCTTGGAGCAGATGGACCATAGTCATCCGTGCAGGTCCAAGGAGTAGTTACTGGTGGGAGTTATTTAGGTATTTTTACAAGTACAATTAAAATGAAGCTCAAATTAAACAATACAGAAAAGGCATCACAAGCCTGAGGCCCATTATAAGGCTTATTAATATTTTGAAGCCTGTATCCCAGCACTATACTTAGCCTCATCAAGTTGGTTGTACCATCGGAGTTAAGGCACTTCCATGGTCCTTGCTTGCAATTTGCTTTACTCTAAACATCTCAAACACACCTTCCTTTGATGAACACCTATATCCTTTTCTTCTTCTTCTTTTGAAATGGGTTATTGTTTGTCTTCATTTAGCAGCTTCTAAGTAGACTTAGAAAAAGTCTCTTGCCTTTGGTGACTAAACCAGAAAAGTGCATTGCTTGGACAAGGGTAGCTACTTTAGTAGAAGGTATCTTGCCTTCTTCCATCCTCATTTTTAACCTGAAGGTGTGAATGAATAAATCCTTTACAAACTGTGATTTTCACTAAATCTGTGGTGCTTCTTTGGACATTGTGCTGCTTAAATATGGACAGCTCATCTTACCTTGTTTTTGTCTTCCCAAAACTAGTTTATATGTCTTGGAATCACAAAGATGTATTCTGCAAACCCTTCTTGGATCTTGGGTTCTAAACAGTGACACAAAATATCTCTGTGCAATAAAAAGCAAATAATCAAATTGACCTATTATAAATTCTAATCAGAGATGCACCAGTTTTTCCTTCCTCATCTGAGCCATTGTGTATGTGTATGCATGAACAAGCTTCATCTCTTTATAACTGTAATATATGCAATAAATAATAAGAGGAATCTTTTCATTGTCAAGGACCTCCTTTTCTTGATTATATGACATCATTAACATTTGCCTTAAAACACTAACGGGAGGCAAAAGCTTGGTTTCATATCACCTCACAGAAATCCAATGCTGTAAACTTATCGCAAATGCTATTAGCCCTTTTTGCATAGTGAATGGTATTTATCTCTGGGTTAATTATAGAACTGTCTTGAGGAAACCTACTGAAATTGAGAAAAGACTGAAAGATCTTCTACTGTTTGCAGTAGGAAAAGCTGTTTTGTCTTCATCAACATCTGGAGGTAAATGCAGGATACACAAATCCTTTGACTAGCCCTATGATATTGAAGTAAATTCTGCTTTATGTAGGTCATGCCATTCACAATAGGTTTTATTGATTTGCTCAATATGAAAACACATGCATTTGCTTTGCAATGGTACTGTTCTTTTTCTGCAGACTTAACTTCTCCCCTTTCCCATCCTCACCCCACAGGCCCGTGACGGAGGGTTAGCCCAGATCAGTGGAGTCATGCGTCACACAGCTCTATCATGCTGGCAGCTGTTCCTGGGTCTGGCTGTGCTGCTTGTCTTCACAAGTCCCACTGCGGGCTGCCCAGCCCGCTGTGAATGCTCAGCACAAAACAAGTCTGTCAGCTGTCACCGAAGGCGTCTGATGTCCATCCCAGAAGGCATTCCAATTGAGACCAAAATCTTGGACCTCAGCAAGAACCGACTGAAAAGCGTTAACCCTGAGGAATTCACATCATACCCATTGCTGGAGGAGATTGACCTCAGCGACAATATTGTCTCCAACGTTGAGCCTGGAGCTTTTAACAATCTCTTCAACTTGCGCTCCTTGAGGCTGAAAGGAAACCGTCTGAAACTGGTCCCCCTAGGGGTGTTCACTGGGTTGTCAAACTTAACAAAGCTTGATATAAGTGAAAACAAGATTGTCATTTTGCTGGACTACATGTTTCAAGATCTGCATAACCTAAAATCCCTGGAGGTTGGGGACAATGATTTGGTGTATATATCACACAGGGCCTTTAGTGGGCTGCTTAGCCTGGAGCAGCTCACCCTGGAGAGATGCAACCTCACAGCTGTACCAACAGAAGCTCTTTCTCACCTCCACAACCTCATCAGCCTGCATTTGAAACAGCTCAACATTAATGCTTTGCCGGCGTACGCCTTTAAAAGACTGTTTCGCCTGAAGGACCTGCAGATAGAGGCCTGGCCCCTCCTGGACATGCTGCCTGCCAACAGTCTGTACGGTCTCAACCTGACTTCTCTATCCATCACAAACACCAACCTGTCTGCAGTACCTTACTCTGCTTTTAAACATCTGGTTTACCTGACACATCTCAACCTGTCTTACAACCCCATCAGCACCATTGAGGCAGGCATGCTGTCGGATTTAGTGCGCCTGCAGGAGCTCCACATGGTGGGGGCACAGCTGCGCACCATTGAACCACATGCTTTCCAAGGGCTCCGATTCTTACGCGTGCTTAACGTGTCCCAAAACCTGTTAGAAACCCTAGAAGAGAATGTATTCCATTCCTCCAAAAGCCTTGAGGTCCTCTGCATTAACAACAACCCTCTGGCCTGTGACTGTCGTCTTCTTTGGATTTTGCAGCGGCAGCCCACCTTGCAGTTTGGTGGTGAGCCACCAATGTGTGCAGGCCCAGACAGTGTCAGAGAGAGGTCATTCAGAGACTTTCACAGCACAGCTCTCTCCTTTTATTTCACCTGTAAGAAGCCCAAGATACAAGACAAGAAGTTGCAGTACCTGGTAGTGGAGGAAGGACAGACCGTGCAGCTGATATGCAATGCTGATGGGGACCCACAGCCTACCATCTCCTGGGTTACCCCACGCCGGAGGCTGATCACAACTAAATCAAATGGTAGAGCCACTGTGCTGGGAGATGGCACCCTGGAGATACGATTTGCCCAAGACCAGGACACTGGGATCTATGTCTGTATTGCAAGTAACGCAGCTGGGAATGACACCTACTCAGCCTCCCTGACAGTAAAGGGGTTTACTTCAGACCGTTTCCTTTACGCCAACAGGACCCCTATGTATATGACAGACTCCAACGACACAAGTTCTAATGGAACTAATGCAAACAGCTACTCTCTGGACCTTAAGACAATATTGGTGTCCACAGCTATGGGCTGTTTCACATTCCTTGGAGTGGTTTTATTTTGTTTCCTTCTTCTTTTTGTGTGGAGCCGAGGGAAAGGCAAACACAAAACCAGCATTGACCTTGAATATGTCCCTCGCAAAAACAATGGTGCTGTGGTTGAAGGGGAGGTTTCTGGACCACGAAGGTTCAATATGAAAATGATTTGATGATATTCTGCTAGCAGTGCTTTTTCTGTGGCATTAAAACCAATTAAAACAGCCTGGCATGTGGAATTGCTAGGCAAAAGCAGCTTAATGCAGCTGTCAGTGTATCAAAAGGTTATATGAAAATGGAAAGACTATTTGTGGTTATACAACAGAGCCTCCAGACCTTGAGGCAGATGTGTCAGGGCCTTTCATAGAACTGGGAAATTGTACTAACTGTTTGCATTGCAAATATTGGCATTCTGGGGATATCAGCAATGAACCACTGGCTCATGCTCATGGACAATTGTTCAACATTTTCTACTGCTACAAAAGGAAAAGAAAAAAAACCTACAGTGTAGGATTTACATACTTAAAGAAAAAGACACATTTGTCTAAACCACACTCGACAATGAAATTTGTATCCATATATCTCATTTGGTAAAACTTTGCATCCTCCCTTCTAGTTGGTTCAACACAAAAAAAAATTGGTAGCTTTTTTTTTTAAATCTACATCTTTACTGTGTACATTTTGAAGCAATACAAATGAGAGGTTGTACTTTTCGATATCCACCAATACTGACCCAAGTGTGATGTCACCCATCTTTTAACTACCATAAAAACCCAAATTAGATCCTTGTAGTTACTAATTAGAAATAATATAAGATATTTTTCTCCTCATGTAGAAGGCCAGACCTGAATAGTTGAGAGCAAAACCGCTCAACTCTGTCGATCTACTCTTCATATAAATATAAGGCATGTGCCTAGTTTTGATACAGAATGGAATATTTTTTATATCTGTGATATCACACTGGACCAGTTTACTGTAATACAGCCCTGGCTCTCACACAGGGAAGGCAACCCACTAGTCAATGCTGGCATGGAGGAGTTGAGTTCTACCTTGAAGAGAGAGAATCAGTTTTGTTAGCCCTGATATTAATTTCAAACCTACTGTTAAAATGTTAATGTGTACTGGGCCAAATAAAGAGCATAATACATTCTGCAGACTCCTTGGGAAATATGGTCATCTTACTCTTTATACAAGTGAATTAAAACATACAAACATTGTTACTAAGAATGAACTCTTCTCCAATGCCAAGTAAACTACAGTTGGTCATGCATAATATGGGGATTTATAATACTAAAATAATGTTTAAAACACGATAGCCTCAAAAAGGCTGACATACTGCCAGATATAATGAACCTCTAGCCACTGTCATTTTCATCTTGTATATTTGTAGATAACACAAAGCTGATTTCCAAGAACAGATTCCTTAGCTATTCTTGATGCCATTTTAATAACAATGTGGTTATGTTTCTTTCAGGGGCAGTATCTTAGAGCAAGAGGGGCAAGTTTTTCCAGATTTTAGGAATCTTTTTAAATGGAAAGAAGACAGAAGTGGAACATTAGTTCAGTACAAGTAACCTTTTGTTTGTTTTATGTTTCCAAAGAAATCTTCAAAAGACTGAGAAGTGAAATTTTATGCTTTATCATAAATACCATGATTTTATTTTTAAATCCTTAGCAATTGCAAGATGCAAAGTTGTTCAGCCACCTCTCAAGTTTTCCCCCAGTTAGGAGCCATAAGTTTGTCATACATGGTTGATAGCAAATACCATTTTTAAATGATTGGCATAATCTGGAGAAAGGATGACAATTAGTACATCTATGTTTAACCAAGATGAATATGAAATATTGTAAGACAGAACCTTCAGATTAATGTGATTGAAGAGCCTGTGTTCAATCTTAGTATTAGATCTTGGCATTTTGAAACCAAAGTCAGGCTGATATATGATAGGATGCAAGTGCTTCTAAAATTAGTATCCATATTTTTTGCAGAGATTTTAAAAGCAGGATAAAAAGTCTCCCACTTCTATCAAGGGAAATGTGCCAAAAGTTGTAAAATCCAGCTGCGCTCCCCAGAGATCCCCTTAACTTAGCTGCAGGACCCAAGGCTAGGCAGCTTTGAGAATCTCTTTTTTTAGTGGTTGATCATTGGTTGCATTGTTGCTTCATTTTAGATTGTCCAACTGAGGAGGTTGCAAGGGTTCATAGAATTTTTTTCACTTAACTTGGCTTTAAGTTTAGAGTTGGGTTTTCTTGCTTCCTTTTGTTTTATGCTCTGAACTAGATAGTTGGAGATTTATGGACATGCTTGATAAGAATACTCTTTGTTCTATGACATTTGTAGAACATTAATATAATGGAACAACCCCTGACTAAATTCTAACACCAGGGAAGTTATTTTTGTTGACGTAATAACCACTGCACTGAAGTCCAAAATTCTACTGTACCTTAATGCGGGCAGTTAAAGAAACAAATGGGGATAAAAAAAAATGTTTCTGAACTGTCCCTTGAAGACATTTGCATGTGCCTTTCCCTTGTAATTGTCATTTTTTTCAACTAGTTATCTATTGCCCCTGCAGTCATTTCATGTTAAATGTTAAAATCAGTGTTAGAAGCAAAAATTCACCTAACTTCTAGACATTTTCAGCTGATTTCTTCATATTAAATTACACAATAAAAAAAATAATCTCAAAAAACACCACCCTAGAAAACATGTACTTTTAGGATTAATTATGAGTTGCTGTATTCCCCTATTCCCTTGGAATGACTCTAAGAAGTGATTGCAGCTAGTGCACTGCAAGGATTTGTGAGCAGAAATGTGCTTAGTTATCTATGTGAATGTGTGCTGGTGATGGAAATCACCGCTTGCTGTTGCTGAGCACCACCTTGCAGAGCTGTCAGCGTTCTGTGTATTGCCTTGAGTTCAGTCAGTATTCAGTTTTTCAGAATCAGTGTTCGTTCCCTGCCTCTAGCAATGTTCTACTTTTTGCAGCCTACTTATTTCAGCATGGACTTAACAAGGCATATGGCACCTCTTAACAGAAGTGAGGACAGCAAGACCCACAGACGCTTTTGTCTTGCTCCACATAGTCTCCTTCTTATGTATTTGTGGGACACATACTAACTATGGCTCTTTTGGGTGAATAAGGAATACAGTGTCAAAGTCAGACCCAGACAAGAACCTTTTTGGCAATTCTTTTAAGAACTGTGGCTGAATGCTTACCCTGCCTCTTGAAGGAGTCAATTCTCTGCTAGAGATCAAGGAGATGCACCACAGTTAATTTTACTGCAGGGGAGAAAAAGGACTGGGCTGTGAGAAGGCATCTGACCCACATGACTCCCTTATCATATATTCAGAAACAGGTTGGTAGTGCATACCTGGCACTAAAAGAGGAATCAAAGGTTTTAACCTACCTCTGACTTGTATACTGGCTGGTCTCCATGCTGACACTAGCCTGAATTTACCTGGCAGCCAGTGCAACAAAACTCTGAGAAGCAGCAATAGTTCTGCAAAAAAGGAGAAAACTGAAAATGTCTGAACCAGCAAAGGAACTTGAGAAAACAGGTACTAAAATATCCTTGTCAATAACTCCTGTAAGAGCAGTGCCCGGGCCTCTCGCAAATATGTTTTGAAGTCCACTTACACAGATCAGTATGAAGATAAGAACAGGTGAAGGTACAAGTGTTTACAGAATCACAGTGAATCACAGAATCATTTAGGTTGGAAAAGACCTTCAAGATCATCAATTCTGACCTTTGACTGATCACCACCCTGACAACTAGACCATAACACTAAGTGTCACGCCCAGTCATTTAATGAACAGCCCCATGGATAGTGCCTCCACCACCTCCCTGGGCAGTCAATTTCGATGCTTAAACACCCTTTTAGTGAAGAAATTCTTCCTGATGTCCAACTTGAATCTCTTCTGGTGCAGCTTGGGCCTATGTCTTCTCCTCCTGTCACTGGCTGCCTGGGAGAAGAGGCTGACCCTCACCTGGCTACAACCTCCTCCAAAGGAGATGTAGGGAGTCATAAGTTTCCCCTGAGCCTCCTTTTCTCCAGACTGAACACCTTCATTTTCCTCAGCTACTCCTCATAAGACTTACACTGTAAGTCTCTCCTAGCTCTGACTCCTCCCTAGCTCTGTTGCCCTTCTCTGGACACATTCCAGCACTTCAATGTCCTTCTTGTAGTGAGTGGAACAGGACTGCACACAGGACTTGAGGTGTGGCCTCACCAGTGCCAAGTACAGGGGGACAATCACTGTCCTGCTCCTGCTGGCCACACCATCACTGATACAGGCTAGGACACCATTGGACTTCTTGGCCATCTGGGCACACAATGGCTCGTGGTCAGCTGCTGACAGCCAGCCCTCCCTGGTCTTCTGCTGGGCCACTTTCCAGCCACTCCATCCCCAGCCTGTAGCACCGCATGAGGTTGTTGTGACCCAAGGACAGGATCCAGTGCTTGGCCATTTTGAACCTCATTCCATTGGCCTTGAAATATTAATCCAGCCTGTCCAGATGGCTCTGCAGGGCTTTCCTGCCCTCCAGCAGATCAACACTCACATCCAACTTGATGTCACCTGAAAACTCACTGAGGGAGCACTCCAGATCATTGATAAAGATATTAAACCAGATTGGGCCCAGTCCTGAGCCCTGGGAACACAACCAGTGACCAGAAACCAACTGCTTGTGGCAGCATTCACCTTTCTTTGGGCCTTAAAACTTAAAACAGCTTTTAATCTAGCCCTTTTCCAAGCCAGTTAAACTTTCCTTGAGTTAAAGAGAATATTGAAGCAATGGATACAGAAAAAGGATTTTTGCTATGATTTGCCAAAAAATCATTTGCAAGCAGCACCCCACCTCAGCCTTATTTTTAAGTTTTGAGTTGGTTCTCTGGTTTTTTTTGTCCCTTCTTCTTTCTTCTTAACTTTGCAACTTTCTTTGCAGAAAGGCTTTGTCCATTAAAACATAATGTTAGATTCAGACTGGAAAGCTGCTTTTACCCTCTGTACCCACCTTATTATATATTCAAGTGCTTCTAAGTGCCAGCAAAGGCAACAGCTCCTGATACAACTGAACAGGAGACACCAAGGCCCCTAGAGAACTGCTGATCTCACTGGACATTTTTTAACTAAACTTCATTTCAGCTGGCTTCATTATCATACTGCCA